GAGAGGAGAGGAGAGGAGAGGAGAGGAGAGGAGAGGAGAGGAGAGGAGAGAGGAGAGAAAGCTGGGAGTATTTATGATTTTGGGATGGAAACCTTTATATTATATACTGTCTTGGAGCAAATGTTGGCATTTTTGAAAAGTCAGCCTTTAAACAAACGAGTGAGTTACGATCTCCTCTCACCTTTCTCCACACCTGAAGTGTTGCTAAGGTGCCAGGCTGCTGGCATGCTTAAGGTTTGACCAACCGGTTTCTCCTATCCATAGAAACAGCCATCCCATTTGGACCGAAAATAAAACCCATCCGTCAAATATCTCCCCGTAAATCAAAAATTGCAGTAAAGTCCTTTCCCCCCCCCCCCATTGCAATTTGCAGGCAAAGCGTGGCTTCCTGTCGTAAATAACAACCCCCCCAGACGCCCCTGTTGTCAGGCTGTTGGGAAGCAAATTCCCAACCCTGGGAATGGCATTTAAATCCACCCTGATTTGGTATGGATTTTAAAGAAGCCAGTCTGCTGGATTTCAATATTTTCACTGCTGCCTTTGTGTAGGAAGATGCCCAGCCAACAATAAGAGATTGCAAAGCTCTGGAAAAGCCGAGTCCATCTTCTTAAGGGTTGTGTTTGTTGTTGTTGTTCCTCAGAATGCTGATGAATCCCTTAAAAAAAAAAACATTTTGGAAAGCTGTTGCACAACACGGAATATTACCCAGATGTGCTCTTTTATTTCACCATCCCCCAGATCTGGGTTTCAGCCGTAAGGTGGCATGGTGGGCATTCCATCTTCCTGACTTCCCTGCATCCCAGAAAAATCTACCTTTATAAATGTCAATTCCGGGGACTTCAAAAGGAAAAGGAAACCCCACTTTTCTTTCCCTCCCTCCCCTCCCCTCCAGCCTCCTCTTACCCTCACACGGTTAAATGCAAATTCAGCTTCCCAGACCTCTTCCTAAGAACAACGCAGGAACAGCAGCACAGACAGTTCCTACGCCACCTACTGCAAAACTGTGCTGACAAGCTCATGCGAGGCTTAGCGCACCTCCTTGCCAGCGTGCTTTCCCCGGGCTGAATCGAGGGCTTCTCGGAAAGGCATCTCCCTCCTGCACCGAGCCACAGAGAGGAGGGGGGTAAGGCGAGACGGACAGGTGGGCCATCCTAGCCATCATCGGAGCAACCCGTGCCGAGCAACCCAGCGGGGCGAGATGGAGAACGAGAAAAAAGGCAGCAGCGCGTCGTCGGAAGGCAGGGGCCAAGGCAAGCATCCCAACATGTCTCCGGTGACTCTCAACGTGGGGGGCTACCTCTACGTTACGCAGAGGCAGACGCTCACCAAATACACGGACTCCTTTTTGGAAAGAGTGGTCAACGGGAGAAGCCCGTGCCCGTCGGACGCGGAGGGCCACTTCTTCATCGACAGAGACGGTCTCCTCTTCAGGCATGTCCTGAACTTCCTGAGGAACGGAGAACTGCTCCTCCCCGAGGGCTTTAAGGAAAACCAACTGCTGGCCCAGGAGGCCGAATTTTTCCAGCTTCCCCTCCTGGGGGAGGCGGTGAAAGCCAAGTGGGAGAAGGAGCAGCTGGCATCCCGGGAGGCCACCTTCCTGGAGATCACCGACAGCCACGACCGGGCGCAGGGCCTGCGGATTTTCTGCAACGCGCCCGATTTCATCGCCAAAATCAAATCGCGCATTGTTTTGGTCTCCAAAAGCCGGCTGGACGGTTTCCCCGAAGAGTTCTCGGTCTCTTCCAACATCATCCAGTTCAAATACTTCATCAAGTCGGAGAACGGGACTCGGCTGGTTCTGAAGGAAGACAACACCTTCGTCTGCACCTTGGAGACGCTCAAGTTCGAAGCCATCATGATGGCGCTCAAGTGCGGCTTCCGACTGCTGACCAGCCTGGATTGCTCCAAAGGGTCGATTGTTCACAGCGATGCCCTCCACTTCATCAAGTAATTACTCTTCCTCCTCCTCCTCCTCCTCTCCACCCTGGGACCAAAAAAGGGACACGAGCATGCAGCCTGTAAATCTCCGTAAAACTTCCAAACGTCGCCACACGGTTTATCCGGCTCTGCCAATCCCAGAGCATTGCTGCTAACAAATCCGTGAGAACTCATGGTATGTAAAATGGTAAACAAACAAAATTCCACCTGCCAGTTCATTGTGTCCGTTTTCATCACAACCAGCGTAATAACAATAATCGTTTTTTTTAAAAAAAAGGTGTTTTATTAGATGTGATGGGAATCGAAGTGAATGCTGAAGCAAATGTGTCTGCTTGGTTCTGCTTTGATCAGCCGGAGGCTGGTGATGGAACAGGTTGGTCTGCCTTTCGGGGGGGGGTGGCCAGGAGGCCTGGCTTCTTGCTCAAGAATGATAAAAATGCTTTCTCTTTCTGACTTGCTCTTTATCTTCCTGGGATGATGCTGGTTCAAGAGGAAAAATAGTTCGGCTTTGCATTGTTCGAAACGTTACAATATGCAGAGTGGTTGCAGGAACTGGGTAGGTCTAGTTTAATGAAAAGAAGGACCAGGGGAGACATGATAGCATCTT